TCCTCCTTGTCCTGCTCCCTCCTTAGAGTGTCCTCCGCCTGTTCAGTCGCAGTCACAGTTACAGCCTGCCTCGCCACTCCCTGGTCCTTCTCCCTACACTGGTCCGACAAGAGGTCTTACGAAGCGTAGTGAGCCTTCGTCTCGTCCTGTGTCGCCTGAGTCTCGTTCTGCGTCACCTGTTCGTGCTGCTCGCACTAGTCGTCGTGTCTCGCGTCAGCGTCCTCCTACTGTCCCAGGCACCCACCAGATGACGCTTCGTCCTTCCACTGCTCCACAGCGTGTCCTTCTGCCTTCTCCTCCTGCGTCCTCTCTTCCTGCCCTTGTTGACCCGGTCTGACTCTCTTCGTGCTGCTAGTCCTACTGTCACGCGTCTCCTGGCCACTGCTGTCACTGACCCTTCCTTTGAGTCAGCTGCTGCGTCTGCCTTAGTTGCTGAGCTTGTCGACTTTGCTGCTCACTGTCTTGTAGACTACGCTGCGAGTCTTGTTACTGAGTCTGAGTCTGAGTCTGTCTGTCCTCTATCCATCGGGGGTGAGTGTGCTCTTGGCACGCACGTCCTTCAGGACAGGCAGGAGGAGTTTGAGTGCTTTGTCGCCGCTGTACCTCATCTTGTGTCCATGCGGATAGCCCCTGAGGGAGACCCGGATGCACCAGACATCTCGACCCCGCGCTCTTACGCTGAGGCGATCGCACGTGAGTACTCCTCTCGGTGGCAGACAGCCATGGACGCAGAGATGGTATCCTGGAAGTCCACTGGCACTTACGTCGACGAGGTTCCCCCCCCTGGGGCGAACATCGTCAGTGGCATGTGGATTTTCAGGTTGAAGCGACTGCCAGGTTCTCCGTCTGTCTTCAAGGCTCGTTACGTTGCTCGAGGCTTCAGTCAGCGAGAGGGAGTCGACTTCTTCCAGACCTTCTCCCCCACCCCGAACATGACCACTCTTTGGGAGCTACTTCACGTTGCCGCTCAGCGTGACTACTAGCTTCACTCTCTTGACTTCAGCACAGCTTGGTCTTTGCCACTACTGACTCTGAGGCTATTGCCCACGTGAAGTCGGAGCTGCAGAAGAGACACACGTGCACAGACCTGGGTGAACTGCGTAGCTACCTTGGCTTGCAGATCGCCCGGGACAGAGCATGCTGCACCATCACACTGACTCAGTCACACATGGTGGAGCAGGTCCTTCAGCGCTTCGGCTTCACCTGGTCCTCAGCACAGGCCACTCCTCTGGCTAGAGGTCACTCGCTCTCAGCTCCACCTTGGGACGAGTCCGTAGAGCCGAGTGGCCCGTATCCAGAGCTAGTGGGCTGCCTCATGTACCTGATGACCTGCACTCGACCTGACCTTGCGTACCCTCTTGGCCTTCTGGCTCGCTACGTGGCTCCTGGTCGGCACCGAAAGGTGCACTGGGATGCTGCTAAGAGGGTACTGCACTACTTGTGCAGTACATCAAGCATGGGGCTTGTGCTTGGAGGGAGGAGCTCATTTGTTCTCACTGGGCACTCAGACGCTTCTCGGGTTGACGACCAGGCTACACAGCGGTCGTCACAGGGTTACACCTTCAGCCTTGGCTCTAGTTCAGTTTCTTGGTGTTCTACTCGCTCGTCTTCAGTTCTCAGCTCCAGTTGTGAGGCTGGGATCTATGCCTCAGCCATGGCTGCACAGGAGTTGCGCTGGCTCACCTACCTGCTGACTGACTTGGGAGAGCGGCCTTGTTCTCCTCAAGTGCTGTACGTCGACAACAATGCTACCATTGCCTTGTGTGAGGAGCACAGACTGGAGCACAGAATGAAGCACATTGCTCTGCGTTACTTCCTGGCTTGAGAGTTGCAGCAGCGTGGTCAGCTTCGTTTGTGTTACGTGGCCACTCGGGCCAACACTGCTGATATATTCACCAAGGCACTTCAGTCTGGTGATCATCAGCGTTTCTGCACTATGCTAGGGCTTGTGCCCACTTTCACTCACTTGGTGTAGGCTTTTCTTGTACTGTGATCTATATATATACCCGCATGCTTGCCTTGCTCGGTAGAGATCACTGTGCTATTTGTGTTGCATATATGCCTGTGCATGTGAACTGGCCTTGTGGCCCATTGCTTGTGCTCAGAGTGTGTGGTGACGTTGTGATCCACCGTGAGCTTGCTTTGCCTTTCTTGACTGGTCTTGTGACCCCTTGCTCTCCCCCACTTTGCCTATGGGGGTGTGTCAAATGTTATATCTGCTACAGTTTGTTTAGGCTGTAGTGGGGTATTTACTATGGGGTACAGTAAGTTTAGGGTTTCCTACTTGTACCCAACACTTTTCTAGTGCATTCACTCTTGTTCAATTCTAACAAAATAGAAGCCGCAATCGGCTTGAAGCGCGCCTTAAGCCCTGCGCACCACGCATCCCACGTGTTGTATTGGGCGGTTTGGTAGAATGAACTTGAGGTAACAGCTGGCACTGTGGGCCCTTCCTCTTGCGATGGCGGCGCCGCATGGCGACGTCACGATGACTCGCCACCAGTCCATGGCGGGGCCCCGCAGCAACGAAACATCATATCGTATCTTCCCTGCGTCTGACGTGACGTAATTAGCGTAAGAAAAGTCGTTCATCGTGAAGACCCACGGTTGAATCGCCGTACCTCCGCGTTGGCTAGGATCGAAGCAGGGCGGGCGTTGCGGCTTGAGCAACATTGGTGCACCGATGTTGTCGTTGCCGATCGTTGCTGCAAATTCGACGTGACGACGGGATTCGTGAGGTGCATTCGTGGTTGGGGCGGCCCTGTTTCTCTCCATGCCAGGCATCGATTGGGCGACGCCATCACTGGCTGCACCTGAGCGCTGTCCCATACTGTCGTGGTGTGAGGTGTGTCAGGAGAGATGACTATCGGCTCATCCGATTGCTCGGGTGCATTGGCCGTTGACTGCTGCCGGGCGGAGTCACGTTCCGCCGTGAGTGTCGCAATTTTGAGTGCCGATTCTTCAAGTTGGCGTACGAGTGCGACGAGGCGTTCTTGGGTCAACGTCACGAGGTTGAATTTGGCCATGGCGGGGGTGTCGGGTGAGTTGAGCAAGAGCCTCAGTCGTGGCCGTGCGTGCTTACGAGAGAGCACTCGAGCGGCGATGCTTGGGTGCTAAGAGACTTCTGCCCCCTCCAAAAATTGAGATAGTGGGGAAGAGAAGGTGTGGGTGCGATCCAAGAAGAGATTGTCGACTCTGAATACCAAGTGTTACGCGTGCAATTGAGCGAGCGAGCGAGAATTGCACTATCAAAGCAAAACAGTACATTGAGCGAAGGCATGAGCGAAGAAAATATAGCGAAGCGAGCGTGGTAACGGAAGCGCGAGAAATTGGGGTGCGCTATGGGCCTAGCGCCGAGGTTGGGAAATGTCGAGGTGGAGGACCGGAGCGTGGGTTACCAACCGAACCGTGAGGTTGGGCCGCGATGTGTATAGTGGCGGGAACAGTGGTCGAGGCGAGTGTCGCGAGCGGGTAACGTTTTACTTTTGGGTGCCGGTGACGGGAACAGTCATGTACGCGGTAAGCACGGGCACGAAGTAAGGAAAAGGATTCTTCCTTACATGTTTTAAGTTTCAGTTTGAGTTTTAAGTTTTACGTTTTGATAAAGGTGTTAACCTGTTATGAGTTGTAAATGAGAGTTGCGCGGAAAACGAAGAACGAAGCTGTGACTGAATGAACTGATCATACATTGAAGGCAGGTGTTTATAGCGTGACTACCCTAGCTAGGCGGGAACCTTGTTGCATAGGATCCAGTCATTTTGAAGACTTACGACGAACTCAAATCTCAACTAGACGCAAATCCGCTTGGTAGGATTGCGCGCGCTGGTCTTAGCTATCATTAGGGAGTGAGAACCAACAAAAAAGATATATCTGCTGCTTTCACTAGAATGAATGGAGGAAGAACTAACATTAGGCATAGAATAAGGAGTTGAGATATTTCATGAGAACCTTATGAGGGAAGGGCTCTTCCAATGTTTTGGAAGGATAGTGGGAGCCTTCATAGCATCAAAGATGCAACCATCATGATGACGTCCTTGAGATGTCACATGCAAAATCCAATCCAATTGGATTTTGCCTAGATGTTGCAACATCTGCAACCCATGCTAGAAACTTCTAGCCACCCAATCCAAAAGTCAAAGTTGCCTTCCTAACCACCCAACTAAAGATCCCTTTATAATCATCACCCAATAATCGTCCACTTTAGTTAGTATCCCAACTTAAGATAGAATTCACAAATCTTGGAAATCTTGTAACTTGGGCGATCTTGGTCGGAACAAGACACACTTGGTATCGTTGAAAAGCCATGGATTTCTCCTGCGCGATCAAGCATTTAGACTTGGAGAGAAACACAGAGGTGATAAAATCTAACAGCCATGCATAATGATTTAAGCTCATGCAATTGATTCAAGTATGGATTGCACGAGCACACAGCAGTACATTAGGATGACATGTAGCGCTTCTTGCAATACAAGCACACCTCTCCCTGACCTCCGCCACTCTCCTCTTGGGAGTTCTCATTCTTTTTGCCCTTCCACTTCTTTTTGAAGCCGCTCTTCCCACCTCCAGCTCCATAACCAGCACCATCCCTTGAATGCTCTACACTTAAAGCCCAAGACCTGAATTACAAAAAAAAGATGGCAAACTGTGCACAGTTTGCCTACCGAACCCACAGCTGACTTCCCGAGCCAGGCTGGTTACCAGAAAAGATCGCACACAAAAAAACACTGAGTCGTGCAGTAGAAGAGGTTTGGTTGGCGAGGGTCCCAACACCTTTCTCAAGGAACAACCACTCTAAGTGTGCACAGTTTGCCTACATTGGTAATTCAGGTCGTGCTTTTCCTACTACTCGTAGATTGTTCCAAGAGTCCGGAAAAAAATTATAACATAGCATAGGCCACGATCGCTTTCACGAATATTACGGGACCCTTAGAAATCCAGGCGTATCTATCCTGCGGCCAAAATAGAAACCCCGAACGGATTGATGGTCGTGGCTTATCGGCATGACAGCAACTATGTTAGTGGCGTATCACGTTTTCGATCTCGCTCGCCCTGGCATCGCAACCCCGCGCACATCGCATTTAGGCCCTATCGCCTTCCGCGTTCCACACGCTTCCCCCCACCGTCTCTTACACACTCCCCCACGCACACCCACGCTTCCCCTCACTGTCGCCCGAGCTCTTCCTCACCGTCACCCGAGCTCTTCCTCACCGTCGCCCGAGCTCTTCCTCACCGTCGCCCGAGCTCTTCCTCACCGTCGCCCGAGCTCTTCCTCACCGTCGCCCGAGCTCTTCCTCACCGTCGCCCGAGCTCTTCCTCACCATCACCCAAGCTCTTCCTCACCGTCGCCCGAGCTCTTCCTCACCGTCGCCCGAGCTCTTCCTTACCGTCGCCCGAGCTCTTCCTCACCGTCGCCCGAGCTCTTCCCCACCACCGCTCACGCTTCCCCTTACCGCCGCTCACGCTTCCTCCTGCCTTTACCAACGCTTCCCCACATCGTCGCTCACCCCTTCCTTCCCCCACCTTCCCTCACACTTCCCCGCTCATCGCCTACGGTTCCTCCCACCGTCACTCACGCTTCCCCCCACCGTCGCTCACGCTTCCCCCCACCGTCGCCCACGCTTTCCCCCAACGTCGCCCACGCTTACCCCCACATCGCCCACGCTTCCCCCCACCGTCGCCCACGCTTCCCCCCACCGTCGCCCACGCTTCCCCTCTCATCCTCCTCCCTGTCGCCTGGAAATGAGCCTCCCCGCCGACCTCCCTTCTCTCCCACCTCTCTCCACGTCGTCATCAGTTCCTTGCCAATCACGTTCCACCTCTTCATCACCATTGCTTCTCCACCCACGCCGCCCACCCTCTCATCTGTTCCTATCGTTGTTGCTTCCCTTCCCATTGCCGCATTTGGTCGCTCTCGCTCTCCCCATTACCACCTTCTCACTCCTACCACCCCATCCTTGCACCCTCCTTTCCTTCTCTCATTCTCCCTCCCTCCCTGCCTCTCACCCACCCTGGCCGCGGACCTATGGCGGGCAGGTCTCGAGCGCTGGGGATGGGGTCGTGACTCGATCGCGGTGGGATGTCACAAGGTGCATCAGCAGCACCCACCCTTCTCTCTCTTGCACCAACCCCGCACGCATGGCAGGTGCTGCTGCGGCTTTGGAGAAGAGCGCTGGGCGCACAGCCGGGGCAGCGCGTGCAGTCGGGCAGCAAGGAGCGCAGTGCTTCAGATGACAGGGGGCAGGGGAGCGGGGGAGGCGGGGCAGGGGAGGTGGAGGGGAGGGAGAGAGGGTCCAGGCATCCTCCTATCCTATCCACCCTTTTACCATGCCACATTTTTACCTCCTGCCCTCCTCCCTTACTCTGTTCGTTCATTACCCCACAGTCGTCCTCCCCTCCCTTCTCCGTTGTGAAGGCACCGCTGCAGGTGGACGGGGTGACGTGCCACGTGACGTGGGAATGGGTGGGCTACCCGCATGTGATTTGCAAGGTTATTCCCAGCCTGCACCATCAGATGTCGGCTCTTTCTCCCCCTAGTTCGTCTGCCTGCATCCAGCGCTTCTCTTGTACTACAGTGTGCCCCTGCCTCTTTGGCGCCTCAGGTGTTTCCTTCCTCCCTCGTCATATGGCTGAGTTACTCTGTCCCACGCTTCCCCCCACCGTCACCCTTGCTTCCTCCTACCGTCGCCCACGCTTCCCCCCACCGTCGCCCACGCTTCCCCCCACCGTCGCCCACGCTTCCCCCCACCGCCACCGCCGCCCACGCTTCCCCCCACCGCCACCGTCGCCCACGCTTCCCCCCACCGCCACCGTCGCCCACGCTTCCCCCCACCGCCACCGTCGCCCACGCTTCCCCCCACCGCCACCGTTGCCCACGCTTCCCCCCACCGCCACCGTCGCCCACGCTTCCCCCCACCGCCACCGTCGCCCACGCTTCCCCCCACCGCCACTGTCGCCCACCGCCAGTGGCTAGCAGCACCCTTCCGTCGCATACACGTTCATTTCCCCTTCCCTCATCTCCCCTTCCCTCATCTCCCCATTCCTCATCTCCCCATCCCTCATCTCCCCATTCCCCATCTCCCCTTCCCTCATCTCCCCATCCCTCATCTCCCCATCCCTGACCTCCCCATCCCTCTCCTCCCCAGCCCTCTCCTCCCCATCCCACACCTCCCCATCCCTCATCTCCTCATCCCTCATCTCCCCATCCCTCATCTCCCCAATCCGCCTCACCCCATTCCGCCCCACCCCGTTCCGCCCCACCCCATTCCGCCCCACCCCATTCCGCCCCACCCCATTCCGCCCCACCCCTTTCTGCCCCACCCCATTCCGCCCCACCCCTTTCCGCCCCACCCCATTCCGCCCCACCCCTTTGCGCCCCACCCCATTCCGCCCCATCCCATTCCGCCCCACCCCTTTCCGCCCCACCCCATTCCGCCCCACCCCTTTCCGCCCCACCCCATTCCGCCCCACCCCTTTCTGCCCCACCCCATTCCGCCCCACCCCTTTCTGCCCCACCCCATTCCGCCCCACCCAATTCCGCCCCACCCCATTCTGCCCCACCCCTTTTTGCCCCACCCCATTCCGCCCCACCCCTTTCTGCCCCACCCCATTCCTCGTTTCCTCTTTTCCTCGTTTCCTCGTCCCTCCTTTCCCGATCCCATCATTCTTCTGCCAAGTTTCACCCTCCTTCCCACCCTCCTCCCCAGCCTCTCTTCCTCCCCTCCCTTCTGCTTCTCCCCCAAGAATCCTCCCTACCTCCCTTCCTCCCATCATTACTTCCTTCATTCCTGCATTCCTCACTTCCTCCCTCCGTTCCTCCTTTCCTTATTTGCCAGTTGTCATTCTTATGCATGCCTGCTTCCCTTATACTTCAGCCACGTCACATCTGACTTCTGGGTTTGTGATGTGTTGGCTGTCTGATACCGTAGTAACACGATGTATAGCCTTGCCATGTATTGGATAATTTGTAATAATACAGGATTATGAGCCTCAGAGCAGTCATACACATGACCAATACCAGGGAGTTCAACAATTAATATATTACAGTATCTGTAAAATAAGGGGAATCACGAGACTCGAGAAGGGAACAAAGCTTGGGGGTGTGTGTAATGTTGCTTCCCGGTTTTGTCTGCTATACTGCAAGCAATAAACCAGGCCATGTTAAGCCACATCTGGTCCTGGGCACCTGTAACTGCATTGGGGGGTATGGGGGTGAGTGAAGGGGGGAAGACAGTAAACGGAATGAGCAGAGGGGAAGAGAAGAAGCAGCGGGGGACAGATTGAACAGAGGGGAAGAGAGGAAGCAGGGGGGAACAGAGTGAGGAAGGGGGAAGAGAGTGAGAAGAGAAGAAGGGGAGGGAGCAAGGGTGAAATAAAGGGAGCAAGAATGAGCAGGGAAGGCGATGGGGGGGAGCAGGGAAGGAGATGGGGGGAATCAGGAAAGGGGATGGGGGGAAGCAGGGAAGGGGATGGGGGGGAGCAGGGAAGGGGATGGGGGGATGCTGGGAGGGGGACGGGGGAAGGAGGGAAGGGGACGGGGGGAAGCAGGGAAGGGGATTGGGGGGAGCAGGGAAGGGGGTGGGGGAAGCAGGGAAGGGGATGGGGGGAGGCAGGGGAGGGGACGCGGGGAAGGAGGGAAGGGGACGGGGGGGAAGCAGGGAAGGGGAAGGGGGGAAGCAGGGAAGGGGTTGGGGGGAAGCAGGGAAGGGGATGGGGGGAGGCAGGGGAGGGCACGGGCCGAAGGGGGGAAGGGGATGGGGGGAAGCAGGGAAGGAGATGGGGGGAAGCAGGGAAGGGGATGGGGGGAGGCAGGGGAGGGGACGGGGGGAAGCAGGGAAGGGGATGGGGGGAGCAAGTCGGAGGATGGGGGAAAGCAGCACAAGGGATGCGGGGAAACAGGGAAGAAGGGAAGGGTGTATGTGCGGGTTGGAAAGGGGGCGTGACAAGTGTGCGAGATGGGAAGGGAGAAGGGAGGGATGGCGAGGGCAACGAGGAGTGGAAGGGAGGGCGAAGGGGGGAGAGAGAGACGGGGATTGCGAGGGGACGAGCGGGAGCGAAGGCGACGAGCAGCAGGGAGGTCGATGAGACGAAGGGGGGCGACGGGCGGAAGGGAGGGAAAGAGAGCGTGAAGGGGGAAAGAGAGTGAGAAGGGGGAAAGAGAGTGAGCAGGGGGGAAGAGAGTGAGCAGGGGGGGAGAGAGTGAGTATAGGAGTGAGCCAGGAAAACAGGGGCGAGCAGAGGGGGTAAGAGAGCGTAAAGGGGGAAAATGGGTGAGAAATGGGGAGAGTGGGGTTAGAACAAGGGGAGTGAGCAGAGGGAAAGAGATTGAGGAGGGGGGAAGCGAGTGATCAGGGGGAAAGAGAGTGAGCAGAGGGAAAGAGAGTGAACAGGAGAGAGTGAAAGGCAATGGGAGGGGAAGGGAAGGTGGCGGGTGGGGAAGCGAGTGTGACGGGCGGGAAAGCGAGTGCGACAGGCGTGGAAGGCGACGGGAGGGGGAATCGAAGGCATCGGGGGAGAGAAGTGAAGGCGACGGGAGAGGGAAGGGAAGGCGACGGGAGGGGAAGTGAGGGCGATGGGAGGGGGAAATGAAGGCGACGGAAGGGGAAAGTGAAGGCGACGGGAGGGGGAAATGAAGGCGACGGGAGGGGAAGTGAGGGCGACGGGAGGGGGAAATGAAGGCGACGGGAGGGGGAAGTGAAGGCGACGGGAGGGGGAAATGAAGGCGACAGGAGGGGAAGTGAAGGCGACGAGAGGGGGAAGTGAAGGCGACGGGGAGGGGGAAATGAAGGCAACAGAAGAGGGGGGGGAGGGGGGGGAGTGAAGGCGACGGGGGGGAAGTGAAGGCGACGGGCGGAGCGAAGGCGACGGGCACGCGACGAGCTGCGGAAGCGAGGGCGACGACGCGGGCGAAAGAGAGGGGAAGCGTGAGAAAGGAAAGCGAGGGCGACGACGCGGACAAAAAAGAGCGGAAGCGTGGGAAAGGAAAGCGAGGGCGAAGGGAGGGTCACGTTTGGGCGAACGGTGGCAATTCGATTTTCGCCGCGGGATTACGCTAGTTGCACAATAACCTGCATTTCGACACAATAATCTTCATCCAGCGGACACTAGCTTTGCGCATCATCATCTAAATCCGCGCCACCCACATCGTATGGCGTATCTGATCCCATATGAGTGAACGCCGACGCCCTGCCCTGTCTACAGGTATGGTCTATACCTAATACTCTGCGTGCTATCTCAAACTGTGCACAGTTTGGTATGCTCGCGCATTTCTGGTTGTGGGAAGAACCCCAGCCATCATGGGAAGCGAGATTGTCGCAAATTGGTTTCGCGAGTGAAAGTCTCTCGCAACCCAACCGAACCTCTCCGTGCCTGCCTCCCGAACCTAGCTTTTAGCGTTGACTTCCGTTGAGTAATTCAGGTGTTGGGCTTTAAGCGCCTCAAATCCTCTTCAAGGATTCTTGCACGAATGTTATCCACACTCCATTGGGATTGCTCGGAGTTGAGGTTGATGGTTAGGGCATACCACGACTCAGGAAGTCGGATCCTTATCTTCGCGCATTGAACAAGTTCAGGGTAGACAACGCCACCACTCTTGAGTTTCGTGATGATGTCTCGCATCTCATCCAACACGGGCTGCATTGGCTCTCCATCAACAAATTTGATGTCGCGCAATCGCCGCGCAAGTAGCATGATGCCTGTAGCATGTGTTGGTGAGTGTTCATTAAAGAGTTTCCTCCATGCCTTGGGTCCACACTCGGGATCACTCAATTGGCCTTTGATATGGTCAAGTTGGCGTCCACCAACCGCTTGGACCATGGGCATGTATGCATCAAATGAGCGTTTTATCCATGCTCTTTTCAAGTCCAAGGCCTCTGACATCTTTTCTTTTCCTTCTACCATATCCAATCACGTGTATTGGGTAAACATGAGCCTCATACAAAATCTCTTGTGCTCATAATCCTTCCCCATGGACTTATCAATAGAGAAGACTTTCATAGGATCCACAGATATAGGAGATGGTGTAATGGAAGAGGGTAGCACAGGGATAGTTGGTTGGTGAGTTCCCACTCCACCACCAACTACTCTCTCTTCCTCTCCAACCTCTCCACTCCCGCCCATCTCATCAGTAGCATCTCTGGTGTCCGTCTCAGCCATCACAAGGCCTTCGGCACGTTTGAATCTTAAGAAAAAACGCTTGGACAAGATTATGCCAGAAATTTCGCATTTACGAATAACGCCGTCGCGGTTAGCACACGTCAAAACAGAACGCGATTCGACCACCAATCAAAAGATCGCGAGCAGAGTAATAATCAAATGGTTTCACTTGTCAAAATTGGTTGAGAATCGATGACGATTCGTCGCTTCAAAGTCGACCACCAGCTCTAATACCACTTGTTGCATAGGATCCGGTCACTTTGAAGACTTACGACGAACTCAAATCTCAACTAAACGTAAATCCGCTAAGTAAGATTGCGCGTGCTGGTTTTCGCTACCATTTGAAGTTGAATCACTTGATTTCATGGTCCAGGGAGTGAGAACCAACTAAAAAGGTATAGCTGTTGCTTTCACTGGAATGAATGGAGGAAGAACAAGCATTAGGCATATAATAAGGAGTTGGGGGGTTTCATGAGAACCTTGTGAGGGAAGGGCTCTCCAAATGCTTTGAAAGGGTAGTGAGAACCTTCATAGCATCAAATATGCAACCCTTATGATGACGTTCTTGAGATGTCACATGCAAAATCATGCCTGGGTGTTGCAACATTTGCAACCCATGCTATAAACTTATAGCCACCCCAATCCAAAAGTCAAAGGTGCCTTCCTAACCACCCAAATATAAGATCCCTTTATAATCATGACCCAATAATCGCCCACTTAAGTTAATATCCCAACTTAAGATAGAATTCACAAAACTTGGAAATCTTGTAACTTGGGCGATATTGGTCGGAATAAGGCGGTCTTGGTATCGTTGAAAAGCCATGGATTTCTCTAGCGCGGTCAAGCATTTAGACTTGGAGAAAAACACAGAGGTGATAAAATCCAACAGCCATACATAATGATTTAAGCTCATGCAATTGACACAAGCATGGATTGCACGAGCATACAGCAGGACGTTAGGATGACATGCACTCAAACTGACATGCATACAACAAACCTCGGGAACGCAAAGTTGGGTGCAGGTTTGGCAAAGGGAAAGCCGAAGGCGACACGATGCAACCTCGGAATCAAGGACGTCGGCTATAAATGCGAAGTTTGTGAGTGTGGGGCTGTACGCGAATCAGTAAACCCCGATAACGGAAATGAAGGATATCGAATATTTGCGGGCAACGACGTTATCCTTCCTTATGGCGTCAGCTGCTTCGTCGTGAATTTCTTGCAGTTTCGTCATAAAGTCTTGGGACCTTAGTACTGGTTTCTCGAGGGATGTCGTTGTCAGTACCACTGGGTCCAACATGTAGTTTAGGGAAAACTAGGGGAGAGATTAGTCGTGCTAGAAGTGGTGTTATAGTACGCAAATTCTAGTATCGAAAGTGAAATTTCTTATCGAGCAAGGTTGGGGCATTTCTGTGAGAAAAGTACGAGTGAATGAATGAACTAGGAAGCAGGTGGGTACAAGTAGTAAACCTAAAAGTGTTGTAACCCATATTGTCTACACCGCTACAGCCTACACAAACTATAGCATATAAGTTTGACACACCCCCATAGGCAAAGTGGGGGAGAACAAGGGGTCACAAGACCAGTCAAAAAGAGCAAAGCAAGCTCACGCTGGATCACGACGTCACCACGCATTACGAGTAAAAGCAAGCGGCCACAAGGCCAGTTCACATGCAGAGTTAAATAAAGCTGAGCAAACAAGACACTGATCACAACCTAGCAAGTGTAAGCATGCAAGTATATATATAGAGATCACAGTACAAGCAAAGTCACGGAAAGCAAGTGAGGCCAAGTGGGCACAAGGCCTAGAACAGTACAGAACCATTGATATCAGCAGTGTTGGCCTTAGAGGCCACGTAAGCAAGACGAAAATGACCACGCTGCTGCAACTCTCGAGCAAGGAAGTAGCGAAGAGCGATGTGCTTCGTTCTGTGCTCCAGTCTCCGCTCACGACACAAGGCAAGCATTGCCTTGTTGTCAACGTACAGAACTGGAGGAGGACGAGGCACCTTGCCCAAGTCGGGCAGCAGGTAGGTGAGCCAGCATAGCTCTTGTGCAGCCATGGCCCCTGCGTAGATCTCAGCCTCACAGCTGGAGCTGAGAACAGAAGACGAGCGGGTAGACCGCCACGAAACAGAGCCGGAACCAAGGCTGAAGGTGTAACCCTGTAACGTCCGCTGCGACGCCAAGTAGTCAACCCAAGAAGCATCTGCGTGACCTGTGAGGACAACAAGACCCCGTCCTCCAAGCACGAGCCCCATGCCCGACGTACTGCACAAGTAGCGCATCACCCTCTTAGCTGCCTTCTAGCGCTTTGGTCGGTGTCTCCCGGGAGCAACGTAGCGTGCCAGGATGCTAAGAGGGTAAGCAAGGTCATGTCGAGCGCAGGTCATCAGGTACATGCGGCAGCCCACAAGCTCTGGATACGGGCCACTCGGCTCTACGGACTCATCCGAAGGCAGAGCTGAGAGCGAGTGGCGAGAAGACAGAGGAGTGGCTTGAGGCGAGGAGTACATGAAGTCGAAGCGCTGAAGGACCTGCTGCACCATGTGCGACTGAGTCAGGGTGATGGTGCGGCGTGCTCTGTCCCGAGTGGTCTACAAGCCAAGATAGCTGCACAGCTCACCGAGGTCTGTGCATGTGTCTCTCTTCTATAGCTCCGACTTCACTAGAGTCAGTGCCTCAGTGTCAGCAGTGGCAGAAACCAAGTCGTCGACGTACACGAGGATGTAGAACAGCGGCAGCAAAGTGCCGGTGCGTAGAAACAGCGACGAGTCAGCAGTAGAAGGAGCAAACCCAAGAGCTGCAAGAGTCGTCCTCAGTGTGTCGTGCCACTCACGAGGGGCCTGACGGAGACCATAGATTGGCCGCCGGAGACTCCACTGGGTACCAGGAGCGAACGACCCAGTGAAGCCAGGTGGGCGGCGCAACCAGATCTCATCGTGCAGGCTGCCCCGTAAGAACGCTGTGCTGAAGTCAAGAGAGTGAAGCCCGTAGTCACGTTGAGCGACGACGTGCAGCAGCACCCAAAGACTGGTCATCTTCGGGGTAGGGGAGAAGGTCTGAAAGTACTCAACTCCATGTCGCTGACTGAAGCCTCGGGCAACGTAACATGCCTTGAAGACAGGCGGAGAACCCGGCGACCGCTTCACCCTGAAAATCCACATGCCATCGACAATGTTCGCCCCAGGTGGGGGAACCTCGTCAACGTAAGTGCCTGTGGACTTCCACGAAGCCATCTCTGCGTCCATGGCTGTCCGCCATTGAGAGGAGTAGGGACCCTCTATCGCCTCAGCGTAAGTGTGCGGGGTCGAGATGTCTGGTGCATCCTGGTCTCCCTCAGGTGCAGGCAGCATGGACACGAGATGAGGTAAAGCAGCGGCAAAACACTGAAACTTCTCCTACCTCTCCTCGAGGACGTCTGTGCCAAGAGCACACTCACCCCTGACGGACGGAGGATAGACAGAATGAGAATCAGCAACAAGACTAGCAGCGTAGTCCAGACGACAGCGAGCAGCAAAGTCGACAAGCTCAGCAACTAAGGCAGACGCAGCTATGGACTCAAAGGAAGGTTCAGTGACAACAGTGGCCAGGAGACGCCTGACAGTAGGACTAGCAGCACGAAGGGAGTTAGACTCTGGGTCCGGACCGTCAGCAAGGGAGGACGCAGGAGGAGACGGCAGAGGGACACGCTGTGGAGCTGTGGAAGGACGCACTGCCATCTGGTGCGTGCCGGGGACAGGAGGAGGACGCGGACGCGGAACAAGACGACCAGTGCGAGTAGCGCGGACAGGCGACGCAAGGCGAGACGCAAGCTCACGACGCTCAGCAAGACCTCCAGTCGGACCAGTGTCAGGAGAAGGAGCAAGCAGTGGGGAGGCTGGCTGATACTGCGACTGCGACTGGACAATCGGTGGACACTCTAAGGGAGGAGTAGGACCATTAGAAGGCGGGAGACCAAGAACATGCTGAAGGAGTGGAACGAAGTATGGCCGCGGCCGTGCAGCACCACGAG